CTTAACATTCACAAATATGCATTATTTGCTAAAAGATCAATGTAGATGCAATTTGTTTTATTGTCCATCCAACTGACCTCTATTGATGAACGAGTCCTGCCTGATTTTTTTTTTCAATTTATACGAAGAAATCACTAGTTTGAAGGCATTCTTCAAAGTCAAGATGAACCAGTTTGCGGCTGATAGTCTCGGTAAATGTAACAAAAAACATTTCATTAAATAAATGAACTATTGATCAACATGAACATTAGAGTGGTTCAAATTATCAATTTTGCTCCACCCCGCTCAATCGATTTAAAATCAGGACCTGATAATACTCTCACAATATGAGTTCATTTGGATGCGAAACATCTCATCTGAAGCCGTTGGTCTCTGCACATGTGTTATTGATAGGTTAAAAATCTAGGGTCCTAGGCGTGAAGTTGCTTCCCTGGCGTCGGTGATTTGGCAGAACGACGGGCAATAAGCATGAATAAAAAAATATATATTCTAATCATGAAATGCTAGGAACGTAAGGAGTATAAGTTATCAGACTAAGAAAATCTGAACTATAATCGAAGCATTAAGACTGAGGAACACAGTTTTAAGTCCTGAGATTTGAGTAAAAAAATCGAGGTTATTGTTCTTCGAATGTTTTGTGTAAACGTTATTGTGGTTAAATTTTCAAGACAATTCAGATGAGAGCTTCTAAAGAAGAAAGGATAATTAAAAACAAAATCTGATAACGTAATAGTAATCTTCACAACTGAATGAAACTTTGAGTGAATTCTGAGGATTTTAAATTCTCGGGAAAATTTAGGGGTATTTTCTGGAAAATTCCAATAGAATTCCAAGAATATATCAAGAATTTGAAAAAGAAATTTTGGAAAGGCTTCCAGGTGCATTTAAAGAAGAACTTTAAAATAAATCTGATGAGAGCTACAACCCGAGCAAAGTCTAAATTTGATGTTGTGATTTCGCTGGTCGTTTTAACGGTTAAAATATCAAAATTGAGAGCAAAAAAGGCTTCCTGTGACATCACATTGAAAACTATTTCTGCTATCAGTGAGAACAAACTGAAAACACAATTTCATATCAATTTTTCCTGTTGATAACAAAACAAGTATTCAATTTGATGTTATGCTAAGGCAATGAAAACAAACCCGCAACAACATATTTTTTAAGAGCACATTTACAGCAAAATGAAAACAAAATTAGGTATCAAATTTGTCAATTGCGTAAACTGAAATCAAATTATGAATTCATTTTGATGTTGACTTGATTTCAATTTGCTGTCATTTTGATGCTGGACTTTGCTAGGGAAGCGATTCTAAGTAAAAGCTCAAGGTTGTTCTGAGTGCATATTTTAAAAACAATTAAAATAGAATTCAGGTAAGAGTTGGAATGAATTTGTAAGAAGAATTCCATGAGAATTTGAAGCTGAAGCTTGCTCCTTATCCTGTACTTATATAAATATGAGTGACATTTACTCATATTTGAGAAAAAAATCTCAGTTTGCGAGTGACTGTGGTTTGGCGAATTTGTAGTCAATCTCAAAAATTTTAGTCAAATTCCTCGGCTTGAAAGTCGAATTAAAGCTCAATTTCGACTAGAAAGCAAACGTTTCTTCCATTGAAATGAAGTGCACAAAGCAAAACGAGAATATTCACAGCTAGAAGAAAGCTTGAAATTTAAAACAAAAACTGGTTTGGCCATTTGAATATATGTTTCCAAAACTTGGATTAACTTAATTCCCAAACCCTAAAAATATCTGAAATTTCAGATTTACAAAAAACAGTGGCGCCAGTGGTGTATTGGTAAGCGTGATTGATCTCTGATCAGAGAAGTAAAGCCGTTAGTCCCCAATTCGAGTTGGTGGGTCGAAAGGTAGGGTCCAGGTGTGGGAGCTGCCTCCCTGGCATCGATAGCATCGGTACTCAGTATGGAAAACAAGATCAACGGAAAACAAATCAAGGAAAAAAATATTTAGAAAATTTTTCGATATCCCGATATAATCATATGAAATCCTAGGATGAATTTTCCAAGCAGATTTCTTCTCTTTGAAATAATACCAGTTCATTAGAGATTGTTTTCCACTCGGTATTGAATGGAAAATATTAATAATAATAAGAAGAAAAATATCGCACAAAATTAATGCACTAAAAATAACCCCTCGACAACTTTTTCTGTCATACAAGAATAAATAAAAATAAATTATTTTCAAAGTTTCAATACTGTTGTTGTTGTTGTTGTTGATGATCATTTATTGTAAATCGTGGCACTTTGATACTATCAAAATTTTCGTTTTATTATTTTAAAATTCCAAGGGATTATTTTTAGTGCAGGAGTCTATTTTGGTGCAAAATTCACTATAATACTTTACTTGAAGAGTATATCCCAATATTTTAGGATGTTGTAGGGTGACTTCAACAATTAACTGTGCGATGAACTACCGGTTTGACAATCATCAGTGATTTGTTTACCATTGCCTTTTAGTCAACTCAAGTGGATTCCATCTACAGTATCTTAAAATAATTTCAAAAAACAAAATCAAATATATATTTTAGTCCATGTACAAACCACTGGACTTTTTCATAAAATTAAGGATAACCTGACAATGTGGCTCCCTGCATTAACCATAGTTGACTTCAATGTTTTAGTCAGATAAAATACAGAGCAAAATAAACTTCATTCAAATAACATGGTATGATGACATATTGTTCAATTCAGAAATTATATACTTATTACTACTGGTACCAAAACCCTGAAATAGTTTTTCCCTGCCATAAAAAAATCATTTATGCTTCATTCTTTGCATAATTCGATTGTAAACAGCCGGTCAATTGAACAATTTAATAAGCAAATAATTGGCATCAAAATCTTATTAAAATGAGTCATGAAGAGCAGTTTCTGTCACAAGGCCGAAATGTGCCTATTAATCACCGCGAACGCAGCAATTATGCATTCAAGAGAGCTTTCCGCGATAGATACCGTTCGCTTAGAAGGCAATATTTCATCAGCCGTGGGCACCATCTGGCGAATCCGAATTTCACATGATAATTCCCTCTAGATGCGAGTAATATGCTATTTGCTGATTCGCTGCTAGAAATTAATTGGACTATGGCCATGCAAGACGTAATGGATACCTCTGGAAGCCACCGAAGGCAGAACACAAGCCTCACTGTTCACTCCATTGCCCGGAGACCCAAGCTTAAGCTCCGTCGTGCATAATTAGCATCCTGTAGGTAGAAAGAGTAATGAATCCTATGACTCCCACCGCAGACTATGTTTAACCAGCACTAGGGTGGTTCAAAATATCGTTTTTGACCAAACCCGCTCAACCGATTCTAAAACAGGTCCTGATTATTCTCCCAAAAATTTTAATCATTTGGATGCAATCTGATATTGCATTTGAAGTTTATTTGGGAATTACTACGGGAAATGTGAACTTTTTGATTCTTTTATTTAACGTCGGCCTTTGTTCCGCAATCTAGTGCCAATCACCGACGGACATCGATTGCCGTCAATGGCCAGCCCAGGGAGGCGGCTTCCATACCTGGGTAGATATTGCACTCATTTATTTCCCTTACGAAGGAAGACGTGACCAGAGATTTTTTTCGCATCAGAGAAAATCCAACGAACTCGGCTGGAATTCAACCCAAACACACTAAGGTGAGAAAGCAGTCACGCTACCACTATACCACCGGCATCGCCAAGTGAAATTTCTGTTCGCATTGTCCTACCCGTTTTCCAAAATGATTTACGGGTAAACTTGCTATCTGTTCTTAATCAGCTACAACTTTACTGAAGACCACTTTTTGACTGATCTTCAAGATAATTAGTTGTTAATTTATTTCGAAACCGATAACTTTCTCATATGATAGATCGGCTGCTTTTAGGGTAACACTGCATCTTGCACTATGACATAGTAGCGTGGAAAATTTCACATACGCACAGATAGCAAGCTAACCCGTTGATCTTTAGAGCGAAAGGCTAGGACGATGGGAATAAAAGATCACTTTTCCCATAGCTATGCCCATTTAAACTTCAAACGGCCAGTTCAATATGAGATCGCCACCAAACCAGCTCAAATTCTGGGAGAATGGACCTCAGGACCCCATTAAGAATCGATTGAGCGGGGTGGAGCGAAATCGATATTTTGAACCACCCTAATAAATATAGCTTCCCACGACCAGCTCTCTCTTCTATATATGCATGTAATGGGTGGAATACTACCTGCAGTGTAGGATTTGAGGGCAACGGGAAACTTTGAAGTAGCAGCAAACGCGCTTGCGATAAGCGGAAAGTGTAATGCGAAAGTTCAACTTCCGCTTTTCCGGCTCTTTGTGGTGAACTAGAACCGGGGCTGTTGTACATCTCCTATACTGTGCTATTCCGTTGTTGCTGCTGCTGGATGCTGTGACCAGCACACGGTGAGTCCAAGACTCCATGTATCCACCCCGGTCAGGGAGGGGTGTGATGGAATTACCCTTTGGCGAGATAGTACACTTCCGTCTTACTTCGTTGGTTCGTTGGTGCCTGTGTAGGCTATATTTCAGAAAGCTCAACACTGTTTGCTATAGTGCGGGTGTTTATTGTGTGACATCATGGTACAAGGAAGTAAAATTATAAAAAAAGTTATTTATTTAATTTCATGTTTCACTATTGATATGTTGGTATACTGTAGAAGAGCTTTCAACACACCTACTGGTCATGATTTCTTTCGTTGCACAACATCCCTTTGAATGTGTTTAACTGCTCCTGACACTCGCTATTTAGGAGAAGGATTATTTTCTCTCTATCCCCTGTACATTTAATTATAACTTAGTAATTAATTTTCCTTTTTTCTCAATCCTCCTTCGGCTATCTGCCAAATTTCTGTTTTATTTCTAGATTTAATTTGTCAAATAAATAGAGCCGGTTTGCAAACTAATGACATTTTTTTCATCTCGTTCGCTTTTTCTGCTTTTGTCTGTTTTTTTTTTTTCGTTTTCTGTGTCCTTGTGTGACAAACCGTGTAGGTATCGACGTGGTGCTACGAGTTGATGACCGGGCCCTTTCGTCGGCGGCCGTCATCGGGATCGTTGTTGGCTGTGTCCTACTACTCCTGCTGGTCATCGATATCCTCTGCTGTCTGATAGGAAATCTCGGCCTGCTGGCAATGATGTGCAGAAGAACGAAACGCTCACCATCCGAGCTGGGTGACGAGGAAAAACTAGGAAGGTAAGTAGTGATTCAATCACTTTGGAAAAAAAATCGATCAGATTTAATTAGTTCAAAGGATAAAAGACCATCGATGTTGTTGATAGAAAGATCCGGGAAGACAATAGGAAGCGCGATTGAAGAGTGAACGAAATTTTTGTTTTTAGCTTTTTTTCTAATTACTTCTAATCTATGATCAGTAGATCGAAACATTTAAACATGCACCTTAGAGTACGTTGTTCTTTGAAGAATTTACTATATCTTAATGCATAACCACTACCCACCATAAGGGAATCACTTTAAAAATTGCACCACTCATATTTAATATTGCATCACCCAGAGAAAATGTCAATACGACGGATGATTGGTAAGTAAGCTTTTCTAGGTGATGCAATATACAATATGAGTGTTGCAAATTTTTTTAAAGTGATTCCCTTATGGCGGATAGTGCACGGAGATGAAAAACTACCCAAAATTAAGTACTTTTCTCTCAATTTCCGGGTTTAGTCAAATAACTAAAATTTGAGTAAATCGCATGTAGCAGGTTCCATTTAACACCAGCAAAAAATTACTTACTCTTAAGTATATTCTACACAAAATTAAGTTTAATTAACGTAAATTTTGTTTTAATTCAATCAAAGTTGAACTATATATCGTTAAGTCGAATCTCTCGTTCCTTTTTTGACAACAATAACGAGCGGAGAGGCTCAACTCAAAATTTAGTAAGAGGAACTCCAATTTTGGGTAGTATTTTTTCTCCGTGTGTATGTATGCAAGAAAATACTGGTTAAACGACTTACATATGTACTTACTTATGTAATTACTTATGTACTTACTTATCTACTTACTTATGTACTTACTTATGTTCTAACTTATGTATTTACTTATGTATTTACTTATGTACTTACTTATGTACTTACTGATGTACTTACTTTTGTACTTACTTATGTACTTACTTATTACTTGCTTATGTACTTACTTATTTACTTACTTATGTACTTATTTATTTACTTACTTATGTACTTACTTATATACTTACTTTTATACTTACTTATGTACTTACTCATGTACTTACTTATATACTTACTTATGTACTTACTTATCTACTTACTTATGTACTTACTTATGTACTTCCTTATGTACTTACTTATGTACTTACTTATGTACTTACTTATGTACTTACTTATGTACTTACTTATGTACTTACTTATGTACTTACTTATGTACTTACTTATGTACTTACTTATGTACTTACTTATGTACTTACTTATGTACTTACTTATGTACTTACTTATGTACTTACTTATGTACTTCCTTATGTACTTACTTATGTACTTACTTATGTACTTACTTATGTACTTACTTATGTACTTACTTATGTACTTACTTATCTACATAATTATACAATAAGTCCCATCAAGTGTACCCTTATAGCTTTACCGACTCTCTGGATATTGTGCTCGCCATGAAGTTGGATCAACTCGTAGTTTATTCTTTTCTTCTTCAAAGTACTCCGTTTTCCAGGGTTGATTTTTTTTTTTTTTTCATTACTAAGACAATGGTTTTTCCTGTTCTTTGTGATTTTCCTTCATCGTGAAAATTTTCATGGGCAACATTTTTCAGATTATGTTTTATATGTATTTCTAAGATAATTTCCCCAACATTTTTCTATAAAAAAATGTTCGGGTTCATGAGTTTTTATTCTTAAAATTACGTGCTGTTCGGGAAAATCCGAAAATTTCAACTAAAGTTTTAGCGGAAAATTGACCACCTCATATTTTTTTAATGTCTCTCATTCATATGATCATAAACTCTTCCTGTGGGCGAAATTTCATAGAATTCTGAGAAACTTTGGCCCAAACCTGTACGATCGTAAAAAATAATCCCTTATAGGTACGTAAAACACAGTACATTTTTATTTAGGCGATAAGCTGTTCTCATTTTTGCGTCACAAAAACGAAAAGAGAAATTATCACTACTAATTTCGAACCTACAATAAAAAAAAACTCATTTGTGTGAATTCAAATGTTGTGATTTAAAAACTTTATTAGTTTCTATAGTAAACTCTGGCGCTACTCTATCAATTACTAAAAATAAAACCAAGCTTCATCAACTGAGTGAAAAGTTATTAACAAAAGAGCATTTTGTGTAGTTGCATTTTGTGTGAAAATACGCATACCCTGCCCCTACCTTATAGACTTCTCTGACGTTTGTGAATTGCACAAGTATTAGTGCAGAACTTTGGGTGAATTCAAAGGTTTTCTTGCACTAATACTTATAATTTACCCCAAGTTCCGCACTAATACTTGTGCATTTTACAAACGTCAGAGAAGTCTATGGTGGTGCTAGTTTGGGTAGGCGAGCTATCAACTTCTATAAAATGACCTTTGAAGCAATTGTTTACAAAAATACTTACAACGATTTCACTTCTGAAAAATGGTGGGTGAAAAAAAAAGCAGTGACAGCCAGGGATGGAACACACATTTACATTCATTTCGAGCATTCATTTACATTCATTTGCCTCTAACTTTTTTCATAAATAGAATACCGTAAAATGATGTATGAAGCTTTTGTAGCTTTTGATATTAATTACAACTTATGTTAATAACTAAAATCTGAATCTCTTATGCATGATGAAATAGAGCTGGCAGAACATGTTATTGTTTATCAGTGAATGCAATTTACATTCACTGAAAAACAATGGTGGGTGCTTATCGCTCTGATTCATCATGCATAAGAGATACAGATTTGAGTTGTTGACAAAAGATGTAGTTAATATCAAAGCCTACAAAAGCTTCAAACACTATTTTACAGAATTCTGTTGATGAAAAAAGTTAGAGGCAAATGAATGTAAATGAATGCACGAAATGAATGTAAATGATTTTCCATCCCTGGTGACAGCCATATTACCGAAACTCGGTATTGCATAAGGTCAGTGCCTGATTTTGGTATTATTGATTTTTAACTTACTCGAACGATAACCCAAATGGTCGAACTATTTCACAAATGGTTTGGATGATACCCTAAACACGTCGTTAAGCAAAATAACCATACCAATTTCATTAGGGTTTCAATACACTCGCCATATAAAGTAACATTCTAGATGATCAGGATCACTATAAGGACTCTATCAAAAATAACTTGTAAAAAACTGTTACCTTCCAAATTCGATAGAAAATATTAAATTATTATTATAATTATAAGAAAGTTCTTTGATTCCTTATGCCATGTCCTTCTTTACAAGTTAACAGAGGAAAACAAACAAATATAATTTAAGGGACTGGTAAAACTTTAGAATTACTGGCAACTCTTTATAACTCGGTATTGAAGGGACCATCGAGTTATAGAATTTTCGACTTATACCGTATGCGTGATAATGTTTGCACCATTAAGCAATGTCAAAATTTAAAAATAAACTCAAAAATTTCGTTTTCGAGTTTTTTTTATTTATTCAAATGGGAATGGGATGTTTCTCAGAGTCTTAAACTATGTTAATCATCGATCGAGGTTCCACTTGCTGCAATTACGGCCTCTAATAATGTAGTCTGGATCCATTTCTCTCTAGGTACGGGTCAATGTTTGTCTGAGGTTTGCTGTACTCGGTAGAACAGGCCTTGGCATTCATGACGCGCCATATTGAGTAATCCAGCGGATTAAGATCGGGGCTGGATGGCGGCCACATATCCTTCGCCCAGAACGGAAGATGTTCCTGCAACCACTTCTGAGTGCGGTTCGAGGTGTGGCACGGAGCCTCATCTTGTTGAAATACAACATTTGGCTTCGGACCGTACTGTTCTTTGATCCACGGAAGAACATACTTACTTAAAATCCCGATGTAGACCTCCATGTTGACCTTGTCGCCTTCTGAAATGAATACCGAGTCCATTTTTTTTGCCATCGGAAGCCACCAATCCAAACAACATAACGCTAGGAGGATGCTTGGTCAGATACACGTTCTTGTGCTCGTCGGCCACGTCTTTTACCGGAAGAGAACTAATATACCGGTCGGTTCTGGAATTTGATACGGGATCGACGGTAAAAATGCTCTCGTCGGTGAACAGGATTACCGGATTTTTTCGCCTAAGGAAGTTCAAGATTTTTTGCATGGTTCGACTCGTAGCTCCCGGATGCGGTTGGTAGTCATGTGAGTTTTTTTTCCGTGCCCTCGACTTCGCCCCGCAATCTTCCTTTACGATCTTCCGTGCCGTAAAGAGACTAATCCCGTGTTCCTTGGCCATTTTCCTTATGTGAACGCACTGGATTCACCCGAATCTTCGTTTTGATAGCAGCGATAACCCTCGGAACCCGAGCTGACCTCGGACGACCTGTGGCCACCTTCGCGGATAGTTATCCTTTCTTTTCTCGGTCTAAAACCCTTTTGACGGTCCACCGGGACACTCCCACGGCGATTGAAATGTCTTTTTGCGACATGGTGCAACTGTCAAACTAAGTAAATCATTTTCTTTTATACACAGCCTACTACGGTTTGAGCTATAGGTTACGTGCATGCAAAGAAAACCAAGGAATTGTATGCACAGGTGAAACGGGAATCTTATTTGTACGATGGTGCAAACATTATCACGCATACGGTAGAATACAAAAATTTGCTTTTTTTTTCAACCGCAAATTAAAGAATAATCCAGAATAATTCCATCTACTGCATGATGCATTTACGTTCTGAGTAGTGAACTCCTTACATTAAGCAAATATGAAAAAAAACATGCAATAGGACTGTACATTCTTGAAATTCAATTCATTGCATGTAAGGCTCTAATTCATGAAAAGTTTTGGCCATTTGATCCAAGGTCGCCCAAAAAAATGTTCGATGTGAATGCATTGAATAATTTGAATCTCATGAAATTTTATCTACCGCACAACGTGAGTTGCTTTTAGACTGTATTGATTACTTCTCTAGCAGCATCAGGATCATTTTATGGATGTGGAACTATCACCTCAAGCACTCAATAAAACCAGTTTGATTTACCCCACGATAGATTTAGGTATGAAATTTACCCGAGGACATCAGAAACATGTTATGATGTGGCCAATAGATCCTGGATACTCAATATGATCACCAGTTGTCATGTTTCTAAAGTTCCTCTGATTTTAACATCAAAATCACAGAATTAAGCTCTACCTTTGATATATCGAGTTATAGAATCCAAACAACACTACATAGAACATCGACCAAAAGAGGTATCGACTTATGGAGAGTACGGTACATGGAAAAATGAAAGGACCACAGAATCCATCGAACCATTTGTCGGCGAAGATCGACTGCCGATTTATTGCCTTCTTTTTCATACTCTATGCCCAGGGAAGTCGAAAAAATTTCCAACCCGAAAAATTCCTAGACCGGGACCGGGAATCGAACACAGCCTCCTCCAGCATGGTATTGCTTTGTAGCTGCGCCTTTACCGACTGCGCTAAGGGAGGCCCTTAATTTTATTTAAATCAGTGGTAGACGAACGCACAGAACTGCTCGACTATAAAAACAATTAAGTAAGGCTTCCAATCATGTAAAACTATTTTTCATTTTTTTTTTTGTGACACCCAGCCTATGATCCATACATACTGCCATATGCAATCCTTATTCACAAACGATTGCATCAAGTTTATCAAAACTTTGCCAGCTGAAACTTACGAACAAATTGTGGTCAAAATTTCAGAAAAATCTGTTCTGGTAAAAGGTTATTACGAAGACATTTTATTTTTGAAGTCTTGTTGAATTTTTTTAATGAAATATTTACTGTTTATATTAACATCTGCGTGAAGCTAACGATTTTACATAGTTGAAGATGCTAAGTTTCAAATAACAGGCTTAAAGTGGTCATTTTATACGATAGATGAGGAGATGAAAGTATAGAGTTGATAGTTCCGTTAGAGTAAAGCAGTGTGAAAATTGTATATAGAGAGTATAAAGCGATGAAGGACAACTTTGAGGAAGGTACGAATCGGGTTAATCATCTCTTTTTACCAAACTCCCCACTTGGAGAGGGATGGTGAGGGGTGTCCACCACTGGCAAAAAGAGATGATCACCGATATTCTTATGTACCTACGATATGTTGAAATAGTTCTATCGATTGCATCGCAATCAAGTCGTTATCTGGCATCTAGTCGTAGGTTTGGAAATTGCAGCTATTGTATTGTCATAGTCGACTCGACGATCTCGAGGAGACACGGGTAGGGGAGGTGCTGCTACTATACCTTTCGACCAATGACAGTATGATTGATGGTAAGCTCCCATCTAGATGTATGCACTTTAACTATTTTGTTTGCATTACTTCTGCGTGAAGCTACCGATTTTGCATAGTTGAAGATGCTAAGTTTCAAACAACTCTATACTTTCACCTCCTCATCTATCGTATGAAATGACCACTTTGAGCCTGCCAATGAAACCAATGCTTTACCGAACGTTCATCTGTTGAGATTTATAAGGCTACTAAGACCATGAAAAAGCTGAAAAAAATTATACGATGAGTACAAAAAGTGCGAACAACCTGTTAAGTCACATTGTCCAAAATATGTAAGAGGAGCCAAATCTAAGATCATAAAAGTATCTACAGTATTTTTTTTCTGTTTTTGTGTAGGAGGACATGAAATAAATAATTAAAGAACTTTCTTTCATTTTACAGTATTCTTCATGGATTCATATTCAACATATTTTCGATGCAGTAATTTCTCCAGCGTACTAGTTTCGCATAGTGGGAGACTTCAAAACTAATATGTCAACCATCTGGAATGTCTTGGCCGCTTAAAAAACTTTTCTGAAGACATAGGAATTTTGAAAAACAGCTTATAGATGCATTTTAGCGCCGCGTAATAACAGAATAGGTATCTGTTTATCATCTAGAAGTCTTAAGTTTTATTTTTTTATAGTCACTTTAGCCCTCTTGGGTCATTTGTGACCTATCTGGGGTGAGAGTTGAACTCGTTACTTTGGCGTGAGAGGTATGGATCTTAACCACTACGCCGGGGTCGCCCCCCGAATCTTAAGTAACTTCCTAGATGGTCAGGATACGCAGCTTCAAACCTGTTCGTAATCAAAACCCGCATAGTAAAAACCCAGAACTGACAAAAGTATGACCCTGCCATTATTTTTCAGAAGCTGAAAAAATCGAAATGTTATATCATTTTCCGTAGTGATTTATTTAAAAAAATCAAACATATTCATCCAATCAAGTTCATTATATTGAAAACAATGTCAATCCTCGTCTTTTTTTAATGCTCTTCATGAAGGATACCGTTACAAAGAGGATTGATTTTTAAAGAGAAAATTTTAATGTTTCCTTAAATTTGGCTCAAAATTTGATGGGATTTTTAGCAAAACAAGGAAACAGATTACTTTAGATCTATACACTATGATTATCCCAGATTAATTAAAAATTCAAGTCAATTGTCAATCAATTTAACAAAATTAAACGATTCACCAAGAAACAGATTGAGACGTACTGAATTAAGTCAATTGTTAAATTCTATCAATTTTATAATGATTATCATTCCTCCACTCACAATTTTCACGTGTGCTTTGATCTTAAATTCCTGATTGCGTAACGGTAATCTGGTATTTAATGCCCTTACGGCAAACATGTTCAAATTCTAAGGGACTCCATTTTATTACTTAACAATGTTTCTGGTTTCTGGAATCTAATGCAAAACTAAATGCCGAACTATTCTGTTGAGCTGGTTTTATCTAACCTGGATTGAATATATCAGTGCTAACATTTGAAAACGGCACAAAAGCCATTTGTAAACAAATGGTTTGTGGGCCCTTTACTCACTACTTGAAGTACACCCACGCGACACAACAGCAACATCGGGTAGGGGAAATTTTCCCCTTTCTGACGATGCTGTTGGTTTGCGTGGGCGTTCTTCGGGTAGCGAGTAAAGGGCCCACAAACCATTTGTTTACAAATGGCTTTTGCGCCGTTTTCAAATGTTAGCACTGATATATGATATACGAAAACAAAATATATATTACGATGAACTTTCAAGCAACTTAGTTAAGCTGCAGCCTGCATTACAAAAACAAAAACTTCCACCAACAACATCAGTCATGGTCTTTTATCCTCATGGGATATACAGGAAAAGGATTCAACTTTTCAACACACCAAGTATAACATAAGCACAAAACTTAATTGCTACTAATTCCTACTTTACTTCATACGATTTGCTCTGCTCACCATTATAAAATGAACAACTAACCAGAAAAAGTTGATGTTTTTATTCTGTATTCCCTGTAAATAACCACTAACCTCACCCTTTCAAACCCATTTGCACCAGCGTCAGCATTAACAGCAGATACCCCTTCATTGTACCATCATCGTAATGTTTCTTTCTCGTCCCATATCCACCACAACCACTAACAATCTCGTTCCTTGTAAAACAAAACCCTAACCATATGATACATCCGTAAACCAAAAACCGCACAAAACTACCAACCAAACACAAAAACAAAAAATCCGCTACTTTATAACCACAATCCAGTCTATACGGTTGGCGTTTTCCGCTACCCTATTGCAGTGGCAGCCTCATCAAGGAGCGTCCACCGTCACCGTCGCCGCTGCCTCCGCCGATCGTGAAGCTCGGTGCGACCACACCGATGTAAGAATAACCACCTTCATAGCGCTTTTTAACTGCCTACCGCCTATTAAGCCTGTTTACGCTTTCCACTCTGTGGTCCACCACCACCGGTCGGTTGGGAAAACGTGAGCCTTTTTTTGCCGCCATTACCTCCTTCCTCAAACGTTTCAGTGACTCCGATCAGAATCGCCAAAACTCAACAGTAATAGATGGAAATGCAGGCAAAAATGGGTTCTGTTACCTTGCGTGTGAATTTTTGCTCGTATTTTGTAGTTTGTCCTGCTGCAGCATGTGAGTGTGAATGTCATGTGGGTGTGCATGAAGTATGATGAACAGGTAGTGTCCCCCCTTTCCCACTAAAGAATAGGTTTGATCCAAATGAAATGGTTTTGTTTATCAAAAGGATGATGAGAAGCAAAAAATGGAGTGAAATTGAGCTTGAAGTATTGATTGTTTCACCATCACGAATCCTCTGGACAGGTACATAGAATAAATTGAATCCAAAATAAATAGATGTACCTAAAAAGTGTATGGGAAGCTGAGTCCGGGAGCGACTTCTTTCTCCGAGTTTGTTTTGACGACATATATATGAAACTAAATGCTTTTTTATGGGATTCTATTGTTTGTGAAATTGAAAAGTTTGATACTTAAATCTTCACTTGTTATCGACAAAAGGAAATACTGATTACTATAAATTCCGGATGGTACTAGGAATTAATCAATAAGACTCTACTTCTAAAACCATTAATAAGTGGTAAAGTTAAGAATATAAATTGACCCTGAGTTAACAACTACACAAGCATAGCGCCTTCTGAGAAGTTTTTACTTGTACTTACCTTATAATTAGGGGTTTCAATACCGGGTGGTTTCTATAATACCGGTATTTTGATATTTAAAATGTGACGCCGGTTAAATACCAGTATTCAGAAATTGTAATGCCTGGGCAAAAGTAAATAGCAGGTATCAATGCACAGTGGTCCAGGACGAGGCTCGGTAGCTCAGTGGTTACCGTTTCTGCTTACTGAGCAGAAGGTCGGGAGTTCAATCCCAGGCCCGTCCCCTTGCAATTTTTCACTTTGCCTTATTCTATACCCACTAGATTTTAATGAAAACAAACTCTTCTTTAACAACGATCGCATCACTTACCACAGTGTGGGTCCTGATCTAAAAATAGAAATTGGATGAGTGCGCGCGCTTGTGTGTGTGTGTGTGTTTGTGCATTATAATCGCTCTACCAAAAACGATCCCTGCGTGTGCGTGTGCAACCTTTCCCCACATCCACAACATCCCAGTGATTTCTCGTGGAAGCGCAGAGGATTTCTCGGTTTCCTTCACAGTGAGAGTACCACGTCAACACATTCCTTCCCCATTCCCCTAGTTGACCTGCATTCGGACACGGCCGGCGCTGGTATTGCTAAATATTAGATCTCCAGTTCTTACACATTAAGGATGAATGTTAGTCCCAAACATCATCTGTTGGTTCTCTGTGTAATTGCAGCTGATCTGGTAATAACAGAGCAGCAACCGTGGGCGGTCAATCATGCTTTTTTGCTATCAATGCACAGTGGTCCAGAATGCAGATTTAGCTGGAAGTGTTGAGCCTGAAATTGAAACTAAAGGGTGATACGGTCAAAATTTGGTCAATATCAACTTGACGTATTTCTTTCAATTTTGCATTTAAAAAACCTGAACACCCCTCATTTTGAAGGTGTGTGTGTGTAGAATGTTGCTCCTATTTTGATTTTGGAATTCACTCTTCAGTTGTCAAAATGCCGTCCAAGCAAGAAGAGCAGCGTATCAAAATTTTGCTCGCGCATCGCGAAAATCCGAGCTACTCGCACGCAAAGTTGGCAAAATCGCTAAAAGTTGCCAAATCAACCGTTACAAATGTAATTAAAGTGTTTGGGGAACGTTTGTCGACAGCCAGGAAGTCTGGATCGGGGGGAAATCGAAAACCGGAAGCCGCTGAGACGACAAAGAGAGTTGCCGGTAGTTTCAAGCGAAACCCTAACCTCTCTCTCCGAGATGCCGCAAATAAGCTGGGTGTATCGTCTACAACCGTGCATCGAGCCAAAAAACGAGCCGGACTATCGACTTACAAGAAGGTAGTGACTCCAAATCGCGATGATAAACAAAATACGACGGCCAAAGCGCGATCCCGGAGGCTGTACACGACGATGCTGACGAAGTTTGACTACGTGGTAATGGACGACGAAACCTACGTCAAAACCGACTACAAGCAGCTTCCGGGACAGGAGTTTTATACGGCAAAAGGAAGGGGAAAGGTAGCAGATGTTTTCAAGCACATGAAACTGTCAAAGTTCACAAAGAAATATCTGGTTTGGCAAGCCATCTGTACCTGTGGCTTGAAAAGCAGCATTTTCATAGCTTCCGGGACTGTCAACCAAGAAATTTACGTGAAAGAGTGTTTGAATAAACGTCTGCTGCCTTTCCTGAAGAAACACGGTTGTTCCGTACTGTTTTGGCCGGATTTGGCATCTTGCCATTACGGTAAAAAGGCCATGGAGTGGTACGCCGCCAACAACGTGCAGGTGGTTCCCAAGGACAAGAACCCTCCCAACACGCCAGAGCTCCGCCCAATTGAGAAATACTGGGCTATTGTCAAGCGGAACCTAAAGAAGACCAAAAAAACTGCTAAGGGCGAGCAGCAGTTCAAGGCAAACTGGCTTTCTGCGGCGAAGAAGGTGGACAAGGTGGTTGTACAAAATCTGATGGCAGGGTTCAAGCGTAAGGCCCGGCAATTCGGATTTGGAAAAGCGGAAGCCTAACTGAATATTTTTCCTGAATTTTATACTAATTGAACTTGAAAAAGAAATTTAATTTGATTTTTTAAATAAACGATTTCACCGATTTACACGCGTTTTCCCTTGACCAAATTTTGACCGTATCACCCTTTATAGACTGAAACTCTCTCATTTTTATGACAATGAATTATTCTATGGTAGTTCTTATTGTCATTGAAATCAAAAATCTAACTTTTTTGTTTGAAAAAATTAGGGTATACATTCTTCGGCAAAGTTATAGCTGACTTAATTTCAAGCAACTTTGTTTTGTTTTTTGTGTCTCTTAAATTGACCGATTTAAAGTTATTTTCTCGAATTGAGTTAGGGTGCCTCTAAAAAAAACAGTTTGCTCTAGTTTTCTTATTTCAAATTTCTCAGCAAAGTTGGCATCAAATAACTTTTAGATCTTTAGAAGGTGTAAATTTTTGCTATACAGAGCTTGTCGATATCTTTCGCCAATCAAGAGTTATTGAAGTTTTTCTACTAAAAAAATGCCCTTTCAAATGTTAATATCTCTGATGGGCAAACAAAAAAATTACGGCATTTGCAAGGGCGTATGTTATTCTCAATAATATGAAAAAAAAATTAGAGGTATGTCATTTTATTTAAACTCGTATAAAATCAATTTGAATTTATTCATATTTTTACTATAATTTGGAATATCTTTTTTATTAGAAGAGATACAAGCAAAAACTTTTACTATAAACATGCGTCTTGAAGAGCTTTAAAAGTCTCTAGAAGATTACTTTCATGAGAAATTGAAATTCATTCTAGAATTCATTGTCATAAAAATAAGGGCGTAGCTATAAGCAACAACTTTGTAGAATACACTTTTTGTCTAAAATTTCAATTTCAGGCTCAAAACTTATCCTTCCAGCTAAATCTTCATTCTGGACCACTGTGCAATGCAGCACCGCGCCCCTTATAAAGGTTGAACATGAAAAAATCCGGACACTAAAATCTTGTTGAGGTTTAAAAATACGATTTATTTTTCATAGTTCAATGTAACAGCTACACATTAGTAGGTATTATGCTTATTGTAAGACCATTGTTTCAGTCTTCCTTCTTATCATATGCCATTGCTCGAGCTTTTCTTCGTACACGGCCTATTATTTTTTGCACGAGCCCTGTTCCCACTTGTTTGGCTGCCAAATTCCATTTCCGCTTGAAATCCATCAGGTCAATTGCAGCTCCACCCTATTTCTTCAGTAATAGACAATTACAATTACAATTGACCAGTATTCCTCAATTGGCGTTAGCTCCGGAGTATTGGCCGGATGCATCTCCTTGGGAACCACTGTGACGCCATTTTCGCTGTACCACTGTTTGGTGGAATTTGAGTAGTGTCAGCTTGCCAAGTCCGGCCAAAATTGGCAATCCACCTCATGCTGCTCCAGAAAAGGCAGTAGTCTCTTCCGTACGCACTCCTCCTAGTATTTTTTTGGGTTCATGGTCCCATAAGTTCCCTCGATGACAGCTTCGCGTTTTCCTTGAAAATACCCACCATTTTCACATGTGTTTTAAGATCCGCTGGCTTTGCCGGACTCTCACTTCCGGGTTTCCGGGCGATGCATCTGCCACGTGTGAGAACTTAAGCTCATTATGCCCCACACATCGACTGTTCATTTGGTTTGAGTCCACAAACCTAAATCGTAGTTTTTTTTAGCATGAAACCCTGTTTTTCCTCTTCCCAATCAGTTTGTCAATACTGTAGCTAATGACATTCGAAAATTGCGGCCATTTTTATGCTTATTTCAGCTATTAACTTATGCCCCTAATCTCACTAGCTCTCGACGTTATGCCTCAAAAACACTTAAATAAATAGTACCTACGAACAATCGTTAGGGTGACTCACTTGGCAAACAGTACAAAACTCTATCACTTCAGTGATATACGTTCTTGCACAAGAAACGGGAAGGTTCTGAATAATAAATGACAAAAACCTATGAATTTGTGACCAAACGGGTTACAGATGAAGACTAGCTAACTAAGGTTTTTCTTGTTTCAAGATCATCCTCGACAAAGCCGAGTCTTGTCACTATAAACAAGACAAAAAGTAACAACTAATATGTGTTCCTTTGATTACTGAAAAATCCTGTTCCCTTAGTTTGAAGTAGTCATGACTAGGAATCGATGGTAGATCTTACATCCCGTAGCGTACCATGATCTACCCACGTTACGGGGCATTATAGCGACTTACAGTCTTAAGCAAAAACA